ATTTTAATTTATAGACACTTTCAAAATTGTGAGAAAGCCAAGTCAAGGCCAAGTCTAATATTTAACATCCTCTCAGGGTATAATCTAATCATTTTTGAGTTTTTCTAACCTAGCAATAAAATCTGTTAGCATTCACAGCTAACAATTACTAAAATAAAATTCTAACTAATAGACCAAAATGAAAAATTTTCATATACACACACATACGTACACACACACACACAAATGTACACACACCCAAGTTACATCCTCTATCTATGCATCAAGGAGCCCAGGTGGTGCAGTGGCTACACACTAGGCTGCTAACCCCAAGGGCGGTAGTGTGAACCACAGTCCACTGTGTGAAAAAGACTTGGCAGTCTGATCACAGCCTTGAGACACAATGGGCAGTTGTCCTCTGTCCTATAGAGTTGGGTCTGAGTTAGAACTGACTCAACAGCAATGAGTTTTTGTTTGACATACTTATCTATGTTATCATATATGAATGATAAAATTATGATAAACTACTTTGTAGCATATTTTATGTGCAATAAAAAGAAACAATTTTGTAGCCAAATCTAGATTTTAAAAATAATTTAAAATATGCAGGCTTATTACCTTTTTCTTTAGCATGAATGTCATCACATATGTGTAGATCTAGATGAGAAATCACTAAATGATGAGAGGTTTCTCTAACATCAAAGTCACTGAATAGCTTCACAATTGCATCATTTAGATCAGGAGCATTTGAAGTCTGTGGTGTTTTCACTTGCTGGGTAGATGGTGCTACAGTGGAACTCTAAAAAGATTAAAAACTTCCCATTATTGCCAGTTAAATATTTGACATTTCACATATAAAACCTAAATATTACAAATTTAAAAGTAATGAAAATGAGAATGCCTTTTCTTTTGTATCAATAACCGGGTTCCCTTAAAATGATTTCCTAATTAAATAAAAGTTAAAAAATTAGAAAACTACATAATTTGCTATAAACCCCAAACACTGCTTCCATAAATTTTTGCAATGTTTTGTATTTCCATGTTAACAACCTTCCTTGTTTTTTTTAGG